AGGTATCAATTAGCATAAATTTAGTAGAAGTACTCCCTTAATTAAGGGATTTAACTTCAAACGGTAAAGACAAATAAGGAAGGAGATCATATAAGACTGGAATACAACACATAAGGAAATAAGCATAGTACAAAGCATGTAATAGAGGCTAGGTTCGACAAATTCTAATTAAGGAAAATGTCTACGAATCAATTTGACAGCATAATCAACCACAAAATAAGGCAAGAAATATTTTAGAGGTGGAAAATCAGTAAGTAAATCATCACAAGAGATGAGTGAAAGATATCAATTACAGGAAATTAGGGATTCAAATAGGAGTAGTAAGGATTAAGGGAATTAACACAAATTGCTGTAAAATAAACAAAATAATCGCAACATAGGCAAGAAGGAATAAAATCATAAACCTTAATAAGCATAGTAAAGTAAAATTCACATAAAGTCAGGAATTCAACTAGAAAGAATGGTACTAATTAGAGGAATTAACACAAATATATTAATAAATACAATAAACATAGTATAGGCGAAAGAAGCAAAATCAGAAACCCTAATAAGCATAATAGGGTAAAAAATCATAGAAACATAGAACATATTCATGAATAACAGACATGCGAACAAATTGAACGAACAAGTAAGCAAGGATAGTTCTCAGAATCCAAGATTAAGACCAAGAATTAGGATTTTCAACATAATGAATCAAATAAAAGGAAAAACTTAAATAAACCATTTAAACATAGTAAAAATCATAGATTAATACTAAAAATCAGAAGAGAAAACGTTTTCAAAAGGAGTTAAGAAACCCTAGTTTTGAAGATGAAGAGACGTCTTTGAAAAAAATCGGAAAGATTATCAAGAAAACAGTAAAGATAACTCGAATAGACTCAGATCTTGTTACAAATCTTAGCAATCAAGAGTCAAAATCAGGGTTTCAGAGAGAGAACCCAGATATGGAGAGACTCCGGTTTAGAAGCCATAGATCTAGCCGGAAAATAGAAAGATCTTACTCGGACGGGCCAAGGTGGCCTGAGAACGGCATAAAAACCATGGGAGGTGAGTGAACCGCTCTCTGGTTCCCTTGAGGGCCTCAAGGCAGCAACAAACGGCATAGGAAGAGAGCCATGAGGCTGGGGATGGTAGTGAGACCGCCATTGTTACCGGTGAACCAACGGCCGGTGAGGGGAGCTATGTTTAGCAGAGAGGATTTTGAGAGAGATGAGAGATGTAACGGCAGAGAGCATGAGAGAAAATGAGAGGATGATAATGAGGGTTTGGGGGGGGGGTAGTCATATTAGGTTAATTATGAAAAGGGGGAATCTGGACCGTTGATTAGAATTGATCAACGGTCCAGATTGGACTAGGGATTGGGCTAGGTAGGATTTTGGTTTGGGCCTGGGTTTTTGGGCTAATTTAATTGGGTTGGGATCTGATTCAATTAGGCTAGAATTGAAAATAGAATTGGCTATTTGTTAAATACCCAATTAAATTAAATAAAACAATTTATAAAAATACCTGATAATTGTAAAAAATGAATTTTATGCAAGGAAATAGTTAAAAATGATTACTTAGTATTTTAAAATACAAATGATTAATTTTTGGTCAAAAAATAATATAAAATCATATGGTTGGCCTTTAATTGCAAAGTTATTGCAATTATAGCCACAAGATGTCAGTTTGGCCAATTATGAAATAATTTAATTCAAATAAGACCATAAATAATAAGTTAAATCAAAAGATGCTTCTGAAATCATTTGTAATGCCATTTTATAATTATTTATTGAAAACCAAAATGCTGAATAAATTAATAAAAATATAGAAAAATTGTGGAAAAATACCAATTACTATTAATGCATGATTTTGAAGGTATATATGCAATTTTAAAATATTTTGGGAAAAATTGGGTATCAACAGCTGTCCCTCTTTACCCGGGAAGGATGAAAGAGTTTTCGGGTAATGAAATGATGGCCAATTTTGACCAAGCGAAACAGTTCGAGAGATTAGGCCGCACTCCAGCTTTTGAGCTGCCTACATATCCCCGGTCTTACAAGAATCAGGCCATGCGTAGTTCTAGATTCGTCGACGAAGTATACCGATGAAGTCATTTCAATAATGGACACAACATAGGGATGAGTGAGTGAACAGTTTACGGGAATGGGTAGGTTTGATATGGATGAGAGAACTGGAGTGGGATCGCTCCTGCTGGGATAGCCGTTGTCACACCTCCTTTTTCCGCGCCCGGGGGG